TAAGATTAACCATTTCAAGTCCGGACACTTTTACCCCCTTCCTGCCCAGGCCAATTTTCAGCTTTCAGTGCTGTCACACTTTGAATGACAATTGCGTGGTAATGCAACACTGTACCCATATGAATTTTTTAGCATTTGTTTGAGACAGATAAAACTTTATTTTGGTGGTATTTATTCACCACTGGGATTTTTATTTTTTTGCTATATAAATTAAAAAGTGCAAACATTTTTTTAAAAAAGTGTTTTGTTATAAAATTGTGCAAATAAATATTTCTTCATAAATCTTGGCCAAAATTAATTCAGTTATCTTTTTAGTAAAAAACAAATAACCCAAATTAGTTTATAACCAAAAATTATAATTTAAAAATTTTTTTTTTTGTATTAACCACGTGATGAATCTCTTCTAGTCCTAATCTATGCTTACATTGACGTCATATATTTTTATTTATGTATCTGCTGACCCAAATTCAGTGCCCATAATAGTATTATGACAGGTAACCTAAATCACTAAGTGGGTTATTAAAAGTTCTACATTCAAACAGCTGTGAAATGATGCTCAGTTTGAAGAATATCAGCTGCTCCTGACATACAAGCCAGCTGATTTTACCAATGTTCTCTCAATTTACTAAAAATGTCATAAATAATTCCAGATTTTATTTGATTCTATGACAGTATTCATATATTATTAAAGCTGTAGTGGTAAATTTTTCACTAGAGTAAAGCTGGGTAGATCGGGTTTAGAAACTCATATTGTGTACTTGCAGCAGGATTATGGAGAATACCAGGAATCTCTATGGGGAGTGCCACCCAATCCCATGCAGCTTCCAAAGCCTTGGTGAACGGGGACGTTTTTCAACCTTGGAAATGCATTGGATGTAGTATCCTGCTTCACATTTATTAGGAAAGACCAAAGAGTAAATGGGACTTTTGAAGTTCCCTTACATATACAGCCTTATATATGTGAGAGCACCCCAAAAGTCACATTTACTTTTTGATCATTCATTCTTCCTATCATGAGGAATGTTGATGCCAAACTACAACTCCAGCATCTTGTGCTTAAGTTCATTTAAAGATTAATACATTGAAATGTCTGTACTCTGAGAGTTTACAACTTTATGCATGTATCGCCCACTAGCTGCCAGATGTCAAGGCCAATAACTCCCAGTCAGAGGCCTATTGTGGAAGAGTTCATGTATGTCTAAGATGGTGACACTGGACTGGGTTGTTAAACCAGTTACTGGCTTAGCTGGATTAGGTTGTCAGGCGTAAAGCAACCCTTCCTATTTTACCAGCTTTGTAGCTTCACAAGTTTTAGCATGTCCTCAGTCATGGTCATGAGCCATGATGCTGTAGTGCACATGAGCAAGGTCTTGCATTTCCTGGTGATCTCAGGCCTGAACCCTAGGCCAATTCTGCACCATAAAAAGGGAACTGCATTGCAGTACCTCTAAAGTCCAAATGAGTGCATCATGGAACCTTACTAATGTATTACAATGTATTATTCCATACAACTGGTATTTCAGAAGTAAATATTTAAGCCCTGTACACACAGGCCAAATGTTGGGTGGTATTGGCCGGTTCAATAAAAAATGTCCGATGTTCAGCCCATGTGTACAGCAGCCAGTCCGACAGATGCTGGCTTCTGTTGAAGGGGCATGACCGAAAAAAGGCTGTTGATCGGCATCCAATCAGCACTCTCAGCCAATGGTTGACAGCGCTAACCGGTGTGTTCTGGCGGGGGGGCGTCACCCCAGAACACAATAGCTCAGAAGGGAGATTGCTGTACTAACATCAGCTTGCTAGTACAGGATCTCCTACTGAGCTCTTCAGTTTTTTTTTTTTCGTTTAGCCCGCTGGGTTGAATGAAAAAGAAAAAGGATAGTGTGTACTAGGTTTTTGTCCCATGGAGGTTTGCAGATAAAATAACAATCCAACTTCAGGATGAATGGGGGTTATGGGGGTACCAGGGACAGACTGACCATTTGAGAACTCGAGCACTGCCCGAGGGCCTGGGGTCAGTAGGGGACCCATGAGATGCCCCTGGTACCTTTCATAGGCTTTTCTGGGTGTGGTTTGAGTGTGGGCGAAGACACAGGGGCCCCATGATCCCCTATTGCCCGGGGGCCCCATGAGTTGTCAGTCCAACCCTGGGGGGTACTCACCTGCACAGTTAGTTTTGTACATCAGGCTTTCTCTTCCCATGGTTAGGGTTGAGGCATTTTGAACTAAACTGGGTTTCTTCCCCTGAAGGGTAGAACCCACTCAGAGCTGCTGACTACATTCTTCTTAGGTTTTCCCCTACAACTCCCCTATCTAGGTACCTGCCATCCACTAAGTACGAAGAGTAAGGCTCTCCACACTTACAGGGTGGGCACAAGGAAAAGGGGGACTTAACCCTCTCTACATACTGAGTTATTTGTCATTGTGTAAAGGCTCACAGGTAGAGAGGTGATATAGGAAGCTGGATATTTAAAACAATAAACAGAACTATCACCTGCCTGAATGTACAATATTTTCGAAAGTTGCCTTTACTTCGTTAGGACTGTATACTCTAAGGCAGGGGTCTCCAAACTTTCTAAAGAAATGGTCAGTTTACTGCCCTTTAGACTTTAGGGGGGCCGGACTGTGCCCAGTGGGAGTAAACCATGCCTGATCTTTTGGTATTGTAGCCGTATTAGTGCACTTGCGACACAAACAATTGAGCAATGACGTGATACTTTTTTTATTTGCACTAACATACAATTTTGAGGACAAGCTTTCGGGGTATGTCCCCTTCTTCAAGGTTGAGTACTGCCTGGACCTTGAAGAAGGGGACATACCCTGAAAGCTTGTCCTCAAAATTGTATGTTAGTGCAAATAAAAAAAGTATCACGTCATTGCTCAATTGTTTCTGTATTAGGGGGAGAAATAGTTGGTGTGAATGGGAGGAAAAGAGCCCCATTTTTGTTAGTGGAAGGAATTATGCCTCATTGTTGGTGTCAGTGGCATGAATTATGCCTTATTGCTGGTGTCAGTGGCTGGAATAATTTCTCAAGGGCCAGATAAAGGCAAGCAAAAGCCGCAGTATAGAGACCACTGCTCTAAGGGAAATAGAGCAGCTCCAATACAGCAGACCAACTTGTCCTGCTGGATGATTTATTTTTTTCCCTACGAATGCAGCATTGTTTCAGCTAACAATTTAATATATCAAACTCTGAAAACAATTACAATACAATATTTTTATATTGTATAACAACTTTTTGTTATATAAATAAAGTGACATTGACCTTTAGGTACATCTGATAATATTACTTTGTGATCCTATCATTGTTTTAGAGCCAGCTCTCAGCAAGTGAGGTGCTAGTGTTTTCCATGTTTTCCTCAGTCTTCTGAAAAGACTATTTTGGGTCTGGCTGATTAAAGTGAGCAGCTTCAAACAAGAGCCCCAAGTACCCCTTGATAAACTAGAGCCTGTATAGAACATATCCCATGCAATCTGACTTTCCTTGTGCTACTGTGCCTTGACAAATCTACAGAAAATGCAGTATCAGAGCATTTTACATGGTTGTCTTTTAGTACATCTACACTGCATACATTTAAAGGATAGATAAACAAATATAAGGCTTTAGGTTACAGTAAAAACGATAAAATTACCCAAATGTAACACTTTTCTGGATTTTTAAAGGTCAAAAATAAAACCTGGTAGATAAGAAATAATAGGAATAAAACAGGTTATTCTAGTTTTGGAACAGTTAACATGTATTAACCACGTGATGAATCTCTTCTAGTCCTAATCTATGCTTACATTGACGTCATATATTTTTATTTATGTATCTGCTGACCCAAATTCAGTGCCCATAATAGTATTATGACAGGTAACCTAAATCACTAAGTGGGTTATTAAAAGTTCTACATTCAAACAGCTGTGAAATGATGCTCAGTTTGAAGAATATCAGCTGCTCCTGACATACAAGCCAGCTGATTTTACCAATGTTCTCTCAATTTACTAAAAATGTCATAAATAATTCCAGATTTTATTTGATTCTATGACAGTATTCATATATTATTAAAGCTGTAGTGGTAAATTTTCACTAGAGTAAAGCTGGGTAGAGATCGGGTTTAGAAACTCATATTTGGTACTTGCAGCAGGATTATGGAGAATGCCAGGAATCTCTATGGGGAGTGCTACCCAGTCCCATGCAGCTTCCAATGCCTTGGTGAACGGGGATGTTTTTCAACCTTGGAAATGCATTGGATGTAGTATCCTGCTTCACATTTATTAGGAAAGACCAAAGAGTAAATGGGACTTTTGAAGTTCCCTTACATATACAGCCTTATATACAGTATGTGAGAACACCCCAAAAGTCCCATTTACTTTTTGATCATTCATTCTTCCTATCATGAGGAATGTTGATGCCAAACTGTACAACTCCAGCAGCCTGTGCTTAAGTTCATTTAAGATTAACCATTTCAAGTCCGGACACTTTTACCCCCTTCCTGCCCAGGCCAATTTTCAGCTTTCAGTGCTGTCACACTTTGAATGACAATTGCGTGGTAATGCAACACTGTACCCATATGAATTTTTTAGCATTTGTTTGAGACAGATAAAACTTTATTTTGGTGGTATTTATTCACCACTGGGATTTTTATTTTTTTGCTATATAAATTAAAAAGTGCAAACATTTTTTTAAAAAAGTGTTTTGTTATAAAATTGTGCAAATAAATATTTCTTCATAAATCTTGGCCAAAATTAATTCAGTTATCTTTTTAGTAAAAAACAAATAACCCAAATTAGTTTATAACCAAAAATTATAATTTAAAAATTTTTTTTTTACATTTTTTAAATTTTATTATTTATGGTTTATTTTTTTTAATATACTGTCACCCTAGCAATACAGTGTCACCATAGTGACACTATAATACTTGTGGGGGGTGATGAAGATTTTTATTTTACATAAAGGCTGTAAAAGCAATAATTTCTCCTTCTCTCTGGCTGCAGTCTTGCAGCCATTGAGAAATACTGTGAGAGCTGTGATTGGTCACAGCTTGTCACATGGTACAAGGCTGTTGTGATTAGCCTTGTACCATGTGATCTCTGTGATCATTCACAGATTTCACACGTAGTAAGCAATGAAGCCAGAAGTCACATCTTGCTTACTACTATTCATGTGATCATTAATTGGCCAATCAGTGATAACATGATCGGGACCTCACACAGAGGTCCCATACGGTGCTCCCAGGGAGCTTGCACAGTCCAAAATGGCGGGTGCCGTTTATGAAAGGCAACCCGTTCCTGCACTGCTCCCGTCCGGCTGTTTATATACATGGGCCGGACGGGAAGTTGTTAATATATTGAAATGTCTGAACTATGCAACACTTGGTTTGGTGTTCACTTTGTTCTTTTTGAAAACTTCCTTAATGCTGGATGTCCAATTGCACTGCACCTACAGGAAGCCTAATAGTTGCCATATGGAGTGCAGTCATCTGCAGAAGTTTAGATTTGTCTAGGACACCATAGTAATAGCACATGATGTCACAGCAAGATGAATAAAGATAGGAAATTATTGTCTAATGCAGTTTGAATTGTAGTTGTCCAGTGACTATACAGCAATGCCAAGAACACTGTGAATGATGGGAAATACACATTAAAGTGTTACTAAAGTAAATTTTTTGTTTAAATTAAAATAACAAACATGTCACCTCTGTCCATGACCTTTTTATCACAAACTCCCTTAACTTGCTTGCAATTACGGAAACCTGGCTTTATGAATCTGACTTTCCCTCTCCTGCTGCCCTCTCCCATGGTGGTCTCCTCTGGACTCATTATTCAAGGCCTAGTGGACGGAAAAGAGGTGGAATTGGAATCCTCCTATCCCCTCAAACCACTTTTCAGGTCCTCCATTCACCTCCCTCTCTGTCCCTTTCCTCTTTTAAAGTTCACTGTATTCTCTATTCTCTCCAGTTTCTTTAAGAATTGCTGTGATCTATTGTCCTCCTGGACCGGTATCAAGCTTCCTTGATGACTTTTCTTCCTGGCTGCCTTACTTTCTCTCTTCTGAAATTCCCACAATCATTCTTGGTGACTTTAACATCCCTGTTAATCTTAACACTCCTGCTACCTCTAAACTTCTGAGCCTTACCACTTCTTTTGACCTAAAACAATGGCCGCATGCTTCTACTCACTCCAATGGTAACTTCCTCGACCTTGTATTCTCCTACCTTTGCACTACTTGCAACCTCACTAACTTTCCTCTTCCTCTCTCTTATCACTCCCTTATTAGTTTTGCTCTCTCCTTGGCTTCCTCCTCCTTGTCTTCCAACTACCAAACAGTTATCCGTAGAAACCTTCGTTATTTTAACCCTTCTTTTATTTTTTCGGCAACTGGTTGTTTCTATGACAAAATCTCAGCCCTGTCCTGTCCCAACCTGGCCACTTCTGTCTACAATAGTTCATGCTCATCCACCCTGGACACATTGACCCCCCTCACTACACACAGAATTAGGCCCCGACTGCTACAGCCCTGGCAAACAGACAATACCAGATGCCTCAAAAAACATAGCCATGCTCTGGAGCATTTATGGAGTAAGACTAGGGCCCAGCAAGACTTCGACCAATACAAATCTGCCCTTCAAAAATACAATTCTTGTCTCCACACTGCCGAACAGACCTACAGTTGCAAGAAAAAGTATGTGAACCCCTTGGGATTACGTGGAGTTTTGCATGAATTGGGCATAAAACGTGCTCTGAACGTCATCTAAGTCACAACAATAGAAGAACACAATCTGCTGAACATAATACTACACAAACATTAGATGTTGCCATGGTTTAATTGCACATAACATGTAAACATTCACAGTGCAGGGAGGAAAAAGTATGTGAACCTTTGGACTTAATAACTGGTTGACCCTCCTTTGGTAGCAATAACCTCAACCAAACGTTTCCTGTAGTTGCAGATCAGACCTGCACAACAATCTGGAGTAATTTTGGACCACTCCTCTTCACAAAACTGTTTCAGTGTAGCAATATTCTTGGGATGTCTGGTGTGAATCGCTCTCTTAAGGTCATGCCACAGCATTTCAATCGGGTTGAGGTCAGGGCTCTGACTGGGCCACTCCAGAAGGCGTATTCTGTGCTGTTGCCGCCATTGTTTTGTTGAATTACTTGTATGCTTTGGGTCATTGTCCTGTTGTATCACCCATCCTCTGCGGAGCTTCAGTTGGCGGACAGATGGTCGTACGTTTTCCTGGAAAATGTCTTGATAAACTCTGGAATTCATTTTCCCATCAATGACAACAATCCGTCCAGGCCCTGAGGCAGCAAAGCAGCCCCAAACCATGATGCTCCCTCCGCCATGTTTTACAGTGGGGATGAGGTTTTGATGTTGGTGTGCTGTGCCTTTTTTTCTCCACACATAGTGTTGTATGTTTTTCCCAAACAACTCAATCTTGGTTTCATCTGTCCACAGTATATTTTGCCAGTAGTGCTGTGGAACATCCAGGTGCTCTTTTGCAAACGTCAAACGTGCTGCAATCTTCTTTTTGGACAGCAATGGCTTCCTCCGTGGTGTCCTCCCATGTACTCCATTCTTGTTTAATGTTTTCCTTATTGTAGGTGTGTCAACAAAAATGTTAGCATGTGCCAGAGATTTCTGTAGGTCTTTAGCTGACACTCTGGGATTCTTCTTTACCTCATGCAGCATTCTGCGCTGTGCTCTTGCAGTCATTTTTACAGGACGACCACGCCTAGGGAGAGTAGCAACAGTGCTAAACTTTCTCCATTTGTAGACAGTCTGTCTTACCATGGACACATGAACATCAAGGCTTTTGGAGATACTTTTGTAACCCTTTCCAGCTTCACGCAAGTCAACAATTCTTGATCGTAGGTCTTCTGAGAGCTTTTTTCTGCGAGGCATGGTTCACATCAGACAGTGCTTCTTGAAACCAGTAAACCCAAAACAGGTGTGTGTTTTTTAAGGGCAGGACAGCTTTCAGCAATACATCCAATATCATCACACTGATTGGAGTCAAGGTCGGCTCACTCCTAGCTCCAGTTAGCTCTGGGAGAAGTCATTAAGCTAGGGACTCACATATTTTTTCCTCCCTGCACTGTGAATGTTTACATGTTATGTGCAAATAAACCATGGCAACATCTAATGTTTGTGTAGTATTATGTTCAGCAGACTGTGTTCTTTTATTGTTGTGACTTAGATGACGTTCAGAGCACATTTTATGCCCAATTCATGCAAAACTCCACGTAATCCCAAGGGGTTCACATACTTTTTCTTGCAACTGTATTATATCACTTTCATTAACACGCAATCCCCATCATCTCTTTTCTACCTTTAACTCTCTACTTCGTTCCTTCTTTACCTCCACCCATTAACTCACTCACTGCTCAGGAGTTTGCTAATCACTTCAAAAATAAGATTGATACAATTTGTGATGAGATCTCCACTGTACAGGTAACTCCCTCACCCTACACTCCTTGTCCACCTGCACAATCTATACTTCCCTTGTTTAACCCAGCTACTATAAAGGAGGTTGGTAAACTGTTTTCAAAAGCCCACCTAACCACCTGCCCCCTGGACCCTGTTCCCTCGCAAATACTACGGTCACCCTCTGGCTCTATCCTTCATTCTTTAACTCATATCTTCAATCTCTCCCTTTCTACTGGCATCTTCCCCAACTCTCTAAAACATGTGCTAGTCACCCCCATACTTAAAAAGCCACATTGGACCCCACCAATCTTAGCAATCTAAGACCCATCTCCTTACTCCCTTTTGCCTCCAAACTCCTTGAATGTCTAGTCTACACCTGACTGAGCTGCCACCTTATTGAAAATACCCTTCTCGGAGAACGGTGTCCAAGATGGCGCTGGGAACAGAAGCATTTCTGAGAGCTCTGGCTCTCTGATCCCCTATCCACTGCCATCCAGGGGGACAGCAGTTACCAGCTGCAGATCCCCTACTGCCCGGACCTTACCCGACATCTGAGGAGGGGTACGGAGCAACTTTGCCCCTTCTCCGACCATCTGGGGCGCGGGATGACTTGCGGCCTACCGCGGCGTGTGAAGCCGCGGTCTTTCCTGATTCCGCGGCCGGGGCGGATCTCCGCCATGACCGGATCACCACACTGCCGCTCTGCTCCTCCGGGCTTGGAGACTGGTTGGACACTGGGGCAGCCTGGGTGAGTCCTCCTCGTCCCTCCTGTGGCCCTGTACACTGCACCAGGTCCCTACAAAATCCCAGCAGGGAACTGGAGATTGAATCTATTGAGGGGGTGGTGCTGGATGGGTGAAGAGGCCCCTTCTATCAGTCCCCATTCTGAGTGGAGGAATCAGGGGTGCCTGGGGCATATATGGATGGCATCTACAAAGCCTGCACACCTGGCCCAGATATAACTACTTGCTTCTCATGGGATGTAATATCAGAATGTATCTTATGTGAACACCCCCCCGGTGGGGGACACATACACGTGTCGGGAGGAAATGCCTGAGTGACCTCCCCGGCCGTGCCACTGAAATATTTTCCTCGGCAATTGGGCTTCCACCACATTATAGTATATTACTTAGATAGCCTGAAGACGATCTGAAACCCTCTGGAACACTTCTTGCAATGCACCGTACTCCCCGCACCAAACCTAAACATCGGGCGCAGCAGCAATCCTCCCCGCAGGGCCATGCTGCTAAGTTGCTGCCTAGCCCACCTGAACCTGATGACAACACTCAGCTCCCAGGGGATCTTGAGTCTGATGGTGATAGTCAGAGGCAGTTTCCATCGGGGATAGTAGATGCCCTTGAACAAAATCCTGAAACCTTACTACACAAGTTCCGTGCTATAGTACGAGAGAGATTACTGCCGCTTCACGCAAATTATCTTCTGATCTACAGAGAGGCCTAAAGGAGTTGGGCCTTCGTGCTCATCAATTGGAACAACGTATGGATCTGGTGACTACAGTCCTGGAGGGTCATGAACAGGAAGTGGAGGATCTGCATGCTGAGTTGGACACTTTGAAAGATAAACTGGAAGATGCCGAGAATAGAGCACGTAGAGATAATCTCCGCATCCGCGGAATCCCCGAGGTAATCACAGATCTGCCAGGTACTGCTACGGCTCTTTTCCAGGAGTTGGCCCCTGAGATTCCTCTGGAACGTTTAGAGTTTGATCGTATTCATAGAGCTTTAGCACCCAAGCTCACGGAGGGTCCTCCCAGAGACATTATCATTAAATTACATTTCTACCGCACTAAAGAACGACTGCTGCAAGCTGCCCGGAACCGTTCGGCGTTGGAATTTCAGGGGCACTCTGTCCATCTGTTTGCGGATTTGTCTCCAGTCACGA